CATTCTTAGTTACAATAAACTAATACTATCAGTTTAATAAATTAAAAATAAAAATTAGAAGAATTTGGTCGAGAATATCACATATTATAAAACAAAACACATAAAATGTGAGCATTTAAAGGTCAAGTTTAATGAATATGGACTTTAAAAGTCAAACTACCACGCTATTTTTTCTTTTCCTGGGGGTGGGGGAGGTATTTATTTTACTAGCATAATGTCCTGTACTCGATCAACTTCGTAGTCTACATTTAATCTGTGCATGGCTACACAGTAGTTCTTTTATAGTAGATTAAAAGAGCACGTTCATGCCCATAATCATGTTAATTAATGACGAGAGATTGCTTCTTTCAAGGCTCGCCAAGCGTTTCAGACTGTCAGGCGTATTATAAAACTTCAAGCACAGATCCGTGGACATTTGGTCAGAAGGCAAGCTGTTACTACCTTAAATTCTGTTCTGAGCGTTGTTAAGATTCAAGCACTTGTACGCGGTCAAATAGGTAGGCGTTCAAATTTCAAAAGAGAAGTTTTCACAAATCAGGTATTGGAAAATGTCACTCTTGAACTTCTATTTCACACAATAGCTTACATTGTTCATATAGTATGCAGAATGTACTGCCCTCGTCTCATTGAACTTTGCCAACTTTCTTTTTTTGTTTGTCTAAAAAACTTTGCCATTTTGCATTTATAGAAAATGATTTGTGGTTCTACTTATTTCTCTCTCCTCTGCACAACTCGTTAACACACAGTTTTTACTTTTCTTATTTCACACCAAACACAAACTTGGAAATATCCAATGGGACGGAGGCAATATTATAAGTACTTGCTAATGCAAGCACATCACAAAACGAACTAGCTCTATATGAATATGTGTTGGTGGGTATTATACTTTCTATTTTGTTAAGGTTCTAAGTTTATAATACCCACTTAAAATTTGATTTTCACTTGTATTGTGCCCTTTGTCTCTGCTTACTTGCTCCTATCTTGCCTTGCCTATCTGATGTATCATTGATTTCTAAGATGGATGGCTTTACTTTTGTTTTGTTGTTGTGCCTCTCCTATTGTTTTCTGCAAGGCACGAGGTCATTTCAAAACTAAGGCATCTATTCCAGCTGAGAAGCTACTGCACAATGCATTCACCAAAAAGGTATATTATGGATCTCCATAGTCATGGGTATCTCTTGATATTTTTTTGCACAACGAAGTGTTCTATATAAAATTAGGTGCACATCTGTTTCTACAGTTCTAAGAATTGTTCATACATACATGACTTCCAATAATGCTGCTTTCAATATTCTTGATGTTGAACACCATAGACATATATGATATGAAGTATGAAAATGCTGTCAGTGTTCTTCTAGTAATGGTATTAATACTAGCACGGAAAAGCATATATGATGTGATGTATGAAAATGCTGTCAGTGATCTTCAAGTAATGGTATTAATATTAGCACGGAAAAGCTATAATTTTAATTGGGCTTCCTTGAGTGTTAAGCTTTTTTTGTTGAACGAAATGATTTTAACCTTACAAAAAATAGCTACATATTATTTTTCAAATTTAGAAAAAGTGCTTGCATTTGTTTCAGAAGTTATCCCAATCAGGCTCATTGTCTGAATGCCCTTAAACATTGTTTCATTTCAGCTACTTTCATGGTCACCCAACACAGTGCCTCTACAGCTTCACTATGGTCCTGAGGAGCCAAACTCTGCTGATGAATGGTTAAAGCGGTGGACTATATCAAAAGTGTGGATTCCACAATCTGAGCCTAAACATACATCTGACCTAAATCACCAAACATCCAAGATAGACGACGGATCAAATCATCTTAGTTCTGAGGCTGAGAAAGTTAAGAGTAACTCAAAGGCTACTATAACACAACATTCTGCAAAATGTGTTTCTGAAATTGAGAAGATTAGACTTAACTTGAAGAAGATATCCAAGCCTATAATAGAAGAATCTGCTTGTTCAGAGGCAGACACTGACAGTTCAATGCAAAATCTTAAGAAGCCACCAACAACCACTGACGATATTCCACGTATTGAAGCGGAGAAACATGCTTTTGTAGAAACTCTTCTCCCAGAAGTTTTTTCAATGGAGACATCACTTACTGTGTTTTCCAGCGTTCAGTCAAAGGTTGAACCGACAAAACCGGATGATGTAGAAACACATATAGATAAGCTATCCAAAACTACACCTGGCCCAATTGCTGTCAAGAATCACGAGGAAGATGTTATAACATCAGATAATAAAGTGCTAAACAGCAATAACAATAATAGGAAGAGAAGAGTCTCATTGCCTTTAAAGTGTGATATAGATTCAGGCACACCCCATACCACAAGAAAGTTACCAAGTTATATGACTCCAACTCAGTCTGCAAGGGCTAAAATGAGGGAGCAGGCATCACCCCGGGATGGGCAAGATGGTTTAGAGAACATTACTGTGATGAGACGTTATTCTATGCCATCTTTGAGTATTGGAAAGATGAGTTCATCACCCCGCATACAGAAACATGTGATTCAAGCAATTGGCAAAGAAGGAATTAAAATTGACAGATCTTTATCAACATCCAGGGATGGGTCAGGTGAGTTTTTTTTTTTGTGGTTGATAACATCAATTTCGTGTGTAAAAGGCTTGTTGAGAGACCCTTTTGTCTACTTGCCTGTGATGAAAGCTACAATCTTGAATAGCTGGGTAGCACATGGTGCATGTCGCTTAGGTTATTGTTTAAACTATTGTACAAAAGCCACAGCCAGTTAATGACCTAAACAATATTGTACTCCGTAGCTTATAGGGGTTTTACTTTGAGGTAGACATTTTGACCTTGGTTCAGACTTTTTCAGTTTTGTTTTAATTCGGTTGAATCAAGCTTGGGGAATGATTACTAAATTACAACCAAACTGTGTTTCGGTTTGGTTCTATACTCCTGTTCGAAACATAAATTAAGGTTTTAATAACAAAATTAATTTTGTTCGGCTTTATTTTGTTTTATGGGTTCGTTCGCGTTTCATACAGTCGAAAAATATTACCAAGCTGCAACTGAATTGCCTATGGTTCGGTATAATTTGGTTTGGTTTTGCCACTTCATCCCTACTTGGCTACTTCTAGTAATCTGAACTAATGTTGCCTTTCTCATCTTAACTTTCAGATAAGGCCATTCGAGCAGAGTGGAAGAGGTGATATTGAAAAAGCATGTAACTAACAGAAGTTACCATCTCAAGTATGAAATGGAGGTGAACAGTGAAATAGCTAGTGTTTTTTCTTGATGCCTAATTGTAAAAGGAGTTGACGTATTAGAAAGCATGCACATGACCAGATTGTATGCCTTCCATACTCTCTATCTATATGCCTTGTGGTATTAGTTTTATGACTTTTATCCTCATTCCTCAATGGTCTCTTCTGCTTTTGTTTTGTTTTTCCTTATTATGTTTGCAAGTAGACATGATTGCACACCTTTTCTGTCTATCAAATACCAGAGTGCATACTTATTTATCATAAGCTCCAGGGCCGTCTAATAATTTTGGAGGCCCCGGTTCCAAATGTAAAACCCAGACCCCACATTAATACAAAAACTTAAACAAAATCTCAGTATAAATGCTTATACTCAAATCAATTGAATACCCATTCAATAATTTAATAATTGTTTTTCTAAAACTTACTTAATACTTGATTTAAAGCAAGACAACTCATTTCAAGCAATTCGAATAAAAGAGAACTCAAAGGACCAACAAAAAAATGATGGATCTATATTTTTCTTCCATACTAATTGTATTTTAGTATATAATATTATTGTATAATACTAATAATTTTTTTAAAATTGAGGGCCCCATAAATTGGGAGATCCTGTTCTGGATAACCTAATTAACCCCCTAAAACACGGCCCTGAGCTCACACCTTTGAACTTTGTGGTCGGAGTCTGCTGTGCCCTTGAGTAGACTGCAAAGTCCAGAACTGTAAGAGCATATAAACCTCTTAAACAAAGCACCACTAGGCTGAGGCATTTAAAACCTCTTAAACAAAGCACCACATTATCTCATACTACATAATTTAAAATTTGATCAATAGTGTTGATGGATTCATCCGTTATACACATGTGCCTTTTTTCAAATCTTTTTCCTCTCATTTCAATCTTCTAGTTCTTTTATCATGCGGATCAAAACAATTCTCAAACATCCGGCATGGATTTCCTTTTGGTGTTTCTTTCTCCACGAACTGTTTTATTGGTTTTTGAAAAATTCACTTCATGTTTTATGGATTAAAATGCAATAATTCAAATTACTATACTAAACGTAGCAACAATGTATACTTTGATTGAATTTAAAAATTTGGGTACCAGTGCTTTTCAAATAAACAAATGCACCGTATAATCATTGCATGAAAGCAAAAGTGCAGGGCAAGACTAGTTTGTGAGTCCAATTGCACAGTTTTTTTCTAACTATTTGCAGTTATTTAAGAATTTGACCCTATCACTAAACTTGTTACTAAACTCATCACAGTTAGGACTATGGACTATTCTTTGTCTTGCGGCTGCTAAACATTGGCTTGCCCACCAATTCGATATTTTCAATGCTTCCATGGCGTTATACACATGTGCATATATATTGCATCTTTCTCAACATTTTCAGTCCAAAGATTTGAACTGTAAATATTTTTTCTAAGTATCCAAGTCGCTCAATACAAACTTAGCATTTTCCTCAATCAAGGCAAATATGCCTGAGAAATTGAAGCAGTTAAGGGGAAACGCTTCTTTCTCGAGTCACACACTAAAGGCCCTTCACTGAAACTTGACCATATTGGAAAAACAACACTGAGTACTAACTATCCTTCGACAAACTGGTTGGTTGTATTACTGAAGGTCAAAGTGGGGTATATTATTCAATGAAAAAATTGCATCTTCAAGTTCGAATTAATGCATATATTATTAGTTTTTATTATTATTTTAGTGCCACTGCATTTTAACTTTTAGCCTTTAGGTCTTAGATCCAATGCTCCTTACTCGTTTGAATTTTGCATGAGAAGATGCAATTTTATTTGAACCAATACATATGCCTATATGTCTGTGTATCCTATATATTATTCGCATCAACAATAACAGTGTAGTTTCCAAACCAACATAGACTACATAGTTTTTTTTATAGCAGACAAGACTTCATATTTATATGGCAAAAGTTTTAACTTAAGAGGGGCGGAGGGTTTCACAGGACTAAGATTTGAGGAGTCGCGAGGAATAACAGGGGGGCCAAGACCCGGTCTGGGTGGTTTCCTTGGACAATAACACTCATCTATGATACAAAAGCAGCCACTTTCTGGAACCCCACAATCTTCCCCATCTTTCTTGCACTCTGAAATACCCTTTGCTTCACTATCCCTTGCAATGCCTACCAATATAATTAAAATAAGTTATCACTCATTTCCATTATACTTGGGAAAAGAACACAAATATTACCTCTAGCATTTTGAAATACAAAAAATTGATTAGTTTTTACCTTTTTCAAAAATATGACTAACTTTTTGCTATCCAATTTTTTACGATTGCAATTTATATTATTTCAAAATCTTTGTCCCGCCCCTACCCCACACTCGTCCAGCTACTTCTGGAAATTGATGCCGGGAAATTAACAGGAAAGTTTTGATGATTTTTTAGTTTTTTTTGTTTTCTTTTTGAAAATTCACTGGAAAAAGTAGTTGGAAATTTTTTTGAAGGTCACATTTCAAATGTATATTGATATGTTTCACATCGGCAATGATATAAAAATATGACAGCAATATCATGTTTTTATAATTTTATTACCTTGTTAGTCACATTTTTATAGTAGTTACTTTTGTGGAAATGAGCTTCAATTCAATCATATTTAAGGAAAATCATATTATAGGACTCCGTAAGTCCGTATTTGCTAGTGTTGGGGTGAGGAAGTTTATTTGACGGATTTTAACTTTTATAATAATAATAAAAGTTAAAAACAACTTTAGTACTCCGTATCTATTTTCTTAATATAATAAAAAAGCATAAAAGAGAACAATGGCAAACACTCCTTTTAAATTCTTGCTCTTAATATGCACCTTTTTCTATGTAAAAAATACTCCCTCCGTCTCATTTTACCTGTCCTACTTTCCTTTTTGGGTTCTCCCAAAATAAGTGTCTCCTTTCCTTTTTTGGAAAGAAATATGTGGTCTACACCATTTCACTTTATTATACTCAAATCTCAACCACAACTTTTATTTTTTCAACCACTTCGTTAATAACTGTGCCGAGTCAAACTAAGACACATAAAATGAGACGGAGGTAGTAGCATTTTACTTTTCATTGAGATCAATTTTGTCAAATGTTTTCCATTTCAATAAATATATTTTGACATTAAAGTTACATAATTAGCACCAAATGAGATTTATAATATTTTTAATTGGATTGAGATTTTTTATCTGATTTGGCGTGTTTAAATCTTATTCGCTTTGATTTGGCGTCTTTTACAATTGTCAAAGTGTAATCTCATCTGTTTAAATCTTGTCTAAAACCAATCCAACTATTTTTCCAAAAAAAAAACGAAAACCAATCCAACTAATAACATTCTTAATACAAAGCTTATTTGTGGCACACTGGCACCGAATCTTCTTGGGCCTCTCAATATTTTTTCACAAAGTTATGAGACCGTTTGGCAACACTGTTTTTCGTTTTATCAGACTTATCAATCAACTTTTTCACCAAACACGTAACTTTTACTTTCGCGCGTTGAATTGTGTAATAAGCAGAAAAAGTAAGGCTGGAGTTACTTTTCTGGCTGTATTGGCTGAAGTTACTGAGATGACCATTTTAGCTATTTTCACATTTTTTTTATTATTATTAAAATATATTTTATAAATAATTTTTTCTTAAATCAGCAGAATCAGCCAATGCAGCCACTTCAGCCAGAACTTCATAAATTTCAGCAGAATCAGTCAAAACAGCCGATTTTCATGCTACCAAACGGGCTCTACATATTTATGAGTCTTGTGACCATATCGTTCTTATTGAATAGCTATTTTGTTTTTACGGGCAATGGGATGATTGATTACGGTTTTATACATGTCCGCTCCATTATCTGCTTCATACCCGCCCCGATTATTTTTAGTTATATTTTTATATATTTTTTTCTATAATTATTTGTCCCACAACCATTAAAATATGAGATTTTTCTCTTTCCATTGTGCATATATAGACATAAATAATAGATTTACAACTATAATGTATGAATGAAAGTTTATAATAAATTTTAATAGCCATTTTTTATTATTATCCGATTTTTTTTTTGTGATTAATTATTTTTCAGATTAAGTATTTTTAGGTTGTTTCCTTTCTCGTCTTGTAGTTATACGAACCTTTAAAGTAACGTCTAAAGTCTAGAGTCTCTAGGCGATGTCATTTTTCACCTTTTAAAATATTATTTTTATATCAAAATTTTAATGACTCATTTAATAAAGCGGTTACTCGAAGTTTTACCCGTTATCCGTTAGGACGATTATGATTTGAAAAAACATTACCTATTAGATAATGGGGCGATTACGGGACGAGAATATAACCCAACGAGGCAGATACGATTGTGTATGTAAAACCTTCCCCAATCCTCCCCATTGTTATCCCTATATAAGATCACATTAAGTCGCATTAGGTTAGGACCGCAGCACTAACTTAACTTTTAATTTGGCAAAACTAACTTAACTTTTCTCTTTCGAAACGAAAACTCAACTTTTCTTATTTTTCATAGAATTGAAATATAAAATTAATCATGCTACATCGTAGCGGCTGCAAAAGATAGTCATTTTACTGACGACTTGTTCTCTTCAATTCAAATTATCCACCAATATTACAAGGACAATATCTAATGGGACATAATTTCAATAATCTTTGTATGATGTGAAATAACGAGATTTATCACCAATCTAGTTCACTATTTCAATATTGAAATTTGTTACCAATTCAATCTCATGGATTAGGATTATATATTTGATTTTGGCACGCTCAATACTCAATAGGAGTATGTTAAAAATAATTTTTTCTTAAATCAGCAGAATCAATCAATGCAGCCACTTCAGTCATAACTTCATAAATTTCAGCAGAATCAATCGAATCAACCGATTTTCATACTACCAGACGGGCTTATAGATTATACAACACAAGAAACTTTGAGACTATATAAAACGCCAAATAAAACAAGAAATATTTGACAGAATTAATTGTAAAAAAGAACTTATATAAGTAACAAGATATACTTACATTGCGCAATAAGAAAAAGAACGAAAACACACGACAAGATCCTGGAAGCCATTATATTGCGCTCTCTAGGTGTCGAAGATAGGTGTGGATATTATTATGTGTGAAATAACACTACATTTCCCATTTCACTAACTTTATATAACAAACAAAGATCAAAATTTGGTAATATATTATTTTGCGGGGAGCATTTAATATGTTGATTCGCAAAACGTACCATAATTTACCTCGGGACTAAGCTAATTACAATCAATAAGAAGATTTATTGCGATTATAACAATATAATTATAATTATTTAATTAAAAGGAATTAAGAATTCTCATGCTGACCTTGTCTTTCATTTGCTTTTTCAATTGTAAAAACAGTTGAAGTGCCATATTGCTTGATATTTTGTAAAATATCAAACAATGTTAATTGAAATAAGAAATAATTACATATTTATGACTAAAATAAAGATTGTTTACAAAAATATGATTAATGACTATAGTAGTAATGAAATCATAGTAATTTATGTTCAATTTTAAACTTAAGTTACCATAATACTACATGTAGTAACTAATAGTCATATTTGTGTAAATAAGTTTTATTTTAGCATTATTTTTGTAAAAAACTCCAAAACAAATAATTACAAAAATATAATTGAAATAAAGACTGTTTACAAAAATGTGACTAACTAGTGACTAGAGTAGTAATGAAATCATAGTAACTTATGTTCAATCTTTAAATTTAAGTTACTATGACGCTACGTTTAATAACTATTAGTCATATTTGTGTAAATAAATACGGAGTATTATTTTAGTATTATTTTTGTAAAAACCTTATTAAATACGTAGTATTAGACACACTAGTCAAATAATTTCAGGATAATGTGATCTGAGTTCAAAATATATGCGTTTGTGTGACATTTAAGTTACACAATTATTCATTTGATTCTGACTTTTTCAAAAAGAAATTAATGCATAATGAAACAACTTTAAATTATTCTAGCATCGATCAACACAAATAATATATGCACCACCTATATAAATAAGCTATATAATATTATTCTAAAAATGAATAATCGATCTCATACATACTATCGTAAAATTAAAAAGACTTATCGTGCCTTATGAACATTCTTGATAAACAAAAAGGGTAATTCAATTTTTTTCTGTTTAGATTCATACATTTAAACAAAGCATGAGTTATTTAAAAGTATTAGTGAATGTGTATTTTTCAAAAACCTTGTCTTTAATCAATTTGATAAAATTGAAACCTTTTTTTAAAGGAAAATTGAAACCTTTTATAATTAGGAGGATTTGCGATTTCTGTCCCCATAACTTTGATTGTATTCGTTATTAGTCCTCTAATTTTAATCAATTGCTTATTTGGTATTGTAACTAATTGATTGTTTTTGCAATTTAAGAACTTTTTTCACCGGTAAATACATTTTTGGCGAAAAATTGACGCTGGTGGCATATTTTCCAGCCAATCATATGTCGAAAAGTGTAATTTTAAGTGAAAAAGTTCTTAAATTATAAAGATATAATAATCACATGACCAAACTACAAGCAGGTAAATATGTAGGATTAATAAAGGGCACAAACGAAAGTGACAAGATCACAATTGTAAATCTCCCTTTTTATTACTAAATAATTTTCCTTTGGTTTGTCTTTCTTTGCCTATAATGTACTATACGTACATTAGGATTTTAGATTTTTATGTTCAGGAAAAAACATAATACACATTTTTTAGAATTTTATCATGTTTTAATTTTACTCATGCTTTGGGAATTTTCCCAAAATGAAACCACTAGATTTAGTTGTGTCATGATTGATCAACAAACGTAATGCAAAAAAAGTGTGTTTAAAATGAAATCATCTACATTACTACATATAGATCAAGCAACTCCAAGTGTTCCTCCAAACGCTTCAGTGAGCTAGCTAGATAAAGGAGATCAAATCATCAGTTCAATGAAGCGTTTAAAGGAACTCTAGGGGAAACCTGATGATGAACTGAATGCATGTAGCCTTTTGCAGATTGATTCACTCACTTCAGTCCTTTGCTGAAGCAATATAATGAAGAGAGCTACACACACACATATATCTTGATGGTTGCAGTATGTGATACTTCAAGCCAAGCCTGTGTATATATAGCATTTTCTCTAAAGAGAGAGAATAGAAAATATTTAGCATTTCTGAGTCCATAAATCAATCCTTATTACAAGTATTTTTATTTTGTAATGTCTTTACTTTAGCAAGCACTTAAGGTCAATAAAAGCATATTTTCGTCCTAGCCTATGATTGAAAGCTAGCTTAACTGTATTTTTACCCAAGTACAAACTTGAAAATGTGTAATGGTAAAATACATAGTGCTAGGTGATATCACACGAAATTGTCTTAAATATGAGTAAAAACGTTCTACAATTCCCGAAATAGAAGTAATTAACTATTGCCATGTTTTAGCAATATCATACTTTTCTTTTTGGAACAGAAGCTTGCCTCTATTCATATCATAAGTTTCAGAATCATTACATCATCAATCAAAGGAAAAACAAATCTGACACCAACTAAACTCCAACATACAACTACTACTGTAAACCCTATGATCGGACTTAGAGACGGTCACCCCTGAAAAAGCAACATGAATCGCTAACCATGCAGCAGGCTTGACATAACCATCCCTCTTCCAATAGATCCAAACATACTCAATGATATAAAGAAAGGCTAAAAGGAGGAGGACGAAACATGAAGAAAACTAAATAAGCAAAATAAATATCTTGAACCCTAGCACCTCGTTCAACCCCTGGCGGTGGTTCAGGAGAAGGCCGAACCATCACTATGATTGTTGACACAAACAAGGCATGGCTCCCGTCCGTCGCTCGATTGATTCCCTGACGAGCAACCTCCGTCTGTCCCACAACTTCAGCCCCTCTGGACGCCTCCCTTTCTCCCTCCCTTGGCTCCCGCAACTCCTTCTCCATCGGCCGCCACATCACGCCTAGCGATATTCCTGCGATCAATTTCCTTCTCTGCTAAACTAATCATCGCACCAAAGGACGACTAAAACTAACGCCACACACAAGGCGGCAAAAACTGGAAACCCTTATTTAAGCTAGGGAGACGGCCGCAGGACGATTTAGGGTTAGCAGTATCATACTTTAAACATGGGATTATTTTCTATACTGCCAATAATTACTCTTATTTAGTGAATAAAAACATGACAAACATATTTTGAAATTTCAAAACGCTTTTACTCATATTTCGCGAATTTTCCCTATTTCTGTGTCAAAAATGATCTTTGTACCCACTCTTATACCCACTTTTGTACCCACTTACGTTTGTCTGTGCACAAACAAAATATTGTCTATGAACCGGGTTCACAGAAAAAAAACTTCCACAAACATGGTGGGTATAAGGTGACTATAAGAGTGTGTACATCAAGCATTGTTGTTTCTGTGTAGACAGTATAAATGTGTAATATAGTCCGCATTTTCTCTCTCCCAATTTCACTGGCATCTACCGGTAATAATCAAGCCCACATATCAGGCCAGGTACAAACTACAATGACAACTGTTAAAGTTTCAATATTTTTTATTCTCTAACGGGAAAGTAGGAAACTAGGAAAGCCCCATCAACTTTGATGTCCCCAAAAGGTATGCTAGACCTATAATGCAATCTATACTTCACTATTGTGTCGTATCCACGTATTGGATAGTTATACGCATTGATACACGAACAAATATATATTGGGTATGTGTTCATAATTTAATAAAAAAATTGGAATTAATTATGTAATTATATATACTTGATACTTCTATTACATGCATTCATAGACGAATAAGCGTATCTCAGGATTAGCCATACTTTAAGAAAACCCCTAGGAATTGTCAATACCTTAATAAAAATTGGGCAATTGCAAAATGTAGGGGGTTGCAAATATATAGTCCCTTAAAACAAAATACGAGTATTTTTTTTTGTTACTTTTAGGCAAAGTATGTTTAATCATTTACTGTTTGTTTATTTTTTGTTCAAGTATTTCAGGATACTGGTGTAGAAACATAATCAAATTAAGATAAACTGGTTTCAGTTGATGACTTCATTCTGCCCGAAATTCTGTCCAGGTTCATGCTAGACATTTAAATAATGTTGAGTTGTCTTTTTGCCCATTTTTGGCATGGTGGCAACTCTACGGAAGAGGAGGGTAAAAAGTGGATGTGATGGAAAACGGACAGATTTTTTCGAGGTAGTGGAATCACGTACTATGTAATGTAAGTAGGACATTGAGCTAAAACTTTAGTTGGGTGAGTGGTGGGAAAATTGAAATATTAATCAATGGTCGAAACTCGTAACGACCGTGTGGAGGTTATAGCTTCTACATGCTGATCTGGATCTCTGGTGCGCATAGATACAAGGTTTACTATCATTGAGTATTTTGAGCCGACTGACACTGTGACTTACATCCTCCCAAAAGTCTTATCGGGTCGGGACGTGGGGCTCTTGGGGTTGGGAAAAGCTTTCAACAATTTGCAATAGGTGTAGGAGTGTATTGTATACGAATTGGGATGAATTTTTTTAATTCATACTTTTAAAAAAGTTTATAGTCTTTGAAATCCATTGACTTTTTAAGTTCATAGATTTGCAAGGTTTTGTTTTTCCGGAGGGGTTTAACACCTGCGGTCGGCAGTTTTTTCCAGCTACTGGGTTTCACAGACGAGGACGCCGAAATAGGGCAATGAGCTTGCGACAGACTTTGGTGATTTCAATGGTGAATCTTGATGAGCGGTACTACAAATTGACTGTGGAGGATGAAGAGGAGGCTCTGGTGCTCGAAGATGCGACCAATGGTGCAGAGGGCATAAGGTTATAGACGGATTTTTCGGTGGTCAGAATTCTCTTCACCGAAAAAGAAATTCGGAAGAAAGATTTAGCTTTACCCATACTGCAACAGCTCGTCCTCCTCTGAAACCACCTCCCTGCCATGAACCAATTTGGGAGAAATTTTTATTCTTGCATTATTCTTTCTTTAGTAGTGCTTGCTTTTTACTCCGTATTATAATTCGAGTAGGTATGATTTAAGTATTTTAATTTTTGAAGAACTTTTGATAGATGATGCTTCATTTTCGATCATTTTAATTTTTGAAGAACTTTTGATAGATGATGCTTCATTTTTAAGTATTTTAATTTTTGAAGAACTTTTGAAGAACTTTTAAGTATATTGATTCTACCGTTTGAATGTGTAGTCTCTGACACATATTCCAAAAGCTCACTATTTTTTTGCTTGAAAATATGATGGAATAAAGTAAAACGACTCACTAAACTGTTCGCGCTTCTTTGTTATGAAGCAGCGGTCAATCTTTGCAATTTGGACTCGATTTTCACTATGAGTCATTCGGATACAGCCTATGTACTTTAGTATAGGGGTAACGGGTAAAGCTGCGTACATCCGCCCCCTACCCCACCGTAAGTGGGAGCCTTTGCGGCACTGGAGTAATGATGATGATGATGTTGTATAGTTTTCAATGTGTGGACTGTGGAGTTTTTTCTATAAACTTTAATGTGGATTCTCTAAAATTGGAAATATGAATTCTTTATGTCCCCTCCGACACTCCCACCATATTATTTTGTTTGACATGTACAAATTGTGGAATCCTCTATTCTTTGATGATGCAATATTTGAACAATGTAAATAATACTCCCTCCATCTCATTTAAAGGTTCTCGTCCACTATTCTTCAGTCAACGTGAATTGTTCTTAATTTTTTACTTAATATATTCAACTTTTATCAAATTTAATTTTTCTTGATTAGATATTATAAAACTTTTAATGTAAAGTCCGAATATGTAAATGTTATTTACTACAAATAATCCTATTAATGACAGGGGTCAATTAACTTTATGGCCAATCAAACACCGTAAACCGCGTGAGAACTTCTAAGTGGGACGGAAGGAGTTTCAGTTATATAATTGTATATACAATTATACAAACAACTGGCATTGATTATGCATAACAATCGTATACAAAAATCAAGAGTTTTTTCCCGAATAAGGGTAGTTTTCAATCTTATTTCCCAAAACAAACGGGGTAGTTTTAAACTTATTTCCCAAATAAGGGTACTTTTGCCTCGTCATCCGCCATGTCAGCACAATTGCCATGTCCACCTATGCCCAGTCAGCAAGACGGCCACGTCACTTATTCCACGCCATCCATCGTCGCTCCCATATCATCATCTAATATATGTGTGCTAAAAATGCTATAAAAAACATGGGTGGAGGGAATTGAACCCGTGACCTAAAACACGCAACATAAGTCCCAAACCGCTAGGTCAACTCATTCACTTGTTACATATGTTCCCTTAGAGCTATTTTTACAATACAAGTGTTAAGTACTGAAACGCGCAAATTTAACTCATGTATTACTCTTTTTTTGAAAACTACATTACTTCTTCCTCAGGTAGTTGAACCATAATAATTTCAGATAATCAATTAAAAATAAATACATAATTATAATATACTAAAACTTAATTTTGGATGTGAAATTAAAAATTAAAAATAATTCATCACTAAATAAAATAAATGTAAATAAGTGTCATGCTATGACCAAGCTCACACCAAATTTAAAAACAAAACTTATATTATTAATGTAAATAAAGTGTCAAAAATTATGTATTTATTTATACACATACTTTTTATATGTGTATTTATTCATATATTTATTTAGGAGTAATTTGAGTTTGCACCTTATATTATTGTCTAAATTGGAGTTTGCACCCCATTTTTAAAAATCTTTGTTTTTGCACCCAACCCCAAATGGAAAGACGAAAATGACTCTCCATTAACAATTTTATTGGCCTTCAACATATTCATAATCGAGCGCATTTTTGGCTTTTCAAATGGGGTTGGGGTGCAAAAACAAAGATTTTTTAAAAACGGGGTGCAAAGTCAAATTTAGATAATAATATGGGGTGCAAACTCAAATTACCCCATTTATTTATGCATTAATGTTTATTTTATTTATTTATTTATTTATTTATTTATTTATTTATTTATTTATTTATTTATTTATTTATTTATTTATTTATTTATTTATTTATTTATTTATTTATTTATTTATTTAT